AACTCATATTTCATTTACCCATGTTTTACCCAACATATTATGTAGATATAAATACATATATACAGTTTAAATCTTATAAAACTTGTATAAAATCGTTCATCCAGCATAGATAGCAAGTATACAGATAATATGCACACATAGCACGTAGTTTATATAAAATACTTCATATCTATGTGTAAGATGAAAGTAACTACGCACTCACCTGGTAAAGGTGGTGACTCGGCACTCGGACAGCACTTCGTTACTCTTAAAACAGTTTTCCTTGGACAAAACCTAGTAGCATTACCACTAGAGTTTAGTCTAATGTTTGACGAGACTAATTAATAGTCTAACTATTATTACTATTATATAAGCGTTAAACAATACTCTTCACCCATTATGTACAGACAGGGGCCAGACATGGAACACCGGAGGGCAGGATGATTTTGGCATATAGCACTTCTGAAATCCAGCAACCCAAGCGGCCCTGCAAACCAGATTCCCCGTACCGCGAGTGGTTAAAAAGATATTATAACGAAACTTATATAACTCATAATAATATCCCAAATAATTATTATAAGGTCCTAATAACATTACTATATTGAGACATAAGTTATACTAAAGATAGGGTAGGCGTAGCTCACTTACAGCGGGTTTTTCGCAAAACCGGGCTTCGCTGGAGCAGCATTCCCGAGCCGAAAGGCTCTTTTCTCGGGGCTTCGGGAGCCTCGAGGCTTCCTTCGGGTGCTAGGGGGTTTACCTAGACTTTAGGGGGCTTAAGGGAGGCTAGAGAGAGAAAGTGAAGTTGGGAGGTGTGAAGAATGAAGGGAACCCGACACCTCTATTTATAGGCTGGAAATCACCAAAACTCGTCGAGTTCAGTGCTAGATGTCAGCATTCTGGTGGCAAAACGTGTGTGGTCTACATTGTGCCACGTCACCCCTTTTGCAGCAGCACCCTGCCGACTTCTAAACCCCGTAACTTTCGCATAAGAGCTCCGTTTTCGACGTTCTTTATATATCCACGCGTAGGTAAAAACAAGATCTACAACTCTCTTCTTGACTCTATTGGCTAATTCTAGACCGATTTTAAATTTAACAGTAAGAGGAGTTTATACTGTTAAATGACTGCGTAAAATTCATAACTCCTACATACGGACTCCGTTTTCGTCTGTCTTTTTGTCGTTGAGTTCCTATAAATGAGATCTTCAATTCTCATTTAGGTCGCGTTGGCCAAAAACCGCTCAATCTAAAATTAGAGTTTCGGGTCGTGCACTGCTAAGCCGAATCTTAGAAAAATCATAACTTCCTCATACGAAATCAGATTTGGGCGTTCTTTTTATGGACGCTCTCGGTTTAACGTATACTCTCTCTTTGGTTTAGATTACTAAGGCCAAAAAGTCATCTATCGTAAATTCACTATTTTACGTTTCCCGGTGCCGTGCCGGTTTTGCCGCGAAACTTCGACGGGTCATAACTTCTTCGTTATAACTTGGATTTCGGCGTTCTTTATATGTACGGAATCCTTGTAACATATGCTACAACTTTAATTAAGACTATTCCTTCTAAATAGTCTTCTATCAAAAAGTTATTTTCGACACTTATTGTCTCTAAATTGACTAGCCCAGATCTACGGGCGTTACAATATACAATCCAGATCGAACAAACAATCGATTGTGTGGTTCTGCCCCAGGCTCACAACCAAACAAGGAACAAGAAATGAGGCGGAGGCCACACATTCCACTGGTTATCGAATCCTCATGTACATAACCCTGAAGTATTCACTAGGTACTTACAAAGTTAACTGTATTGATCCTTTGAAATCTGTTGAAAGTGTTCCTCAAGAAAATCCAATATTTTCTTAGCAAAAGTATGATAATACCAATTCCTTCTATAGCTACTTAGCTCATACTAGCTATGTATAAATCAATATCGAACAGACAGTTAATTGTGTGGATCTGCCCTAAATCCACAACCAAACAAGGAACAGGGAATGAGACGGAAACCACACATTCCATGGTCTATCGGATATTCTTCATACGTAACCCGGATGCATAAACTAAGGAATTATAGAATTAAAAATGAATATTCATTAGTTGAAGGATAAACCGATTGTTTGTAAAGTTACTGATGTTTGTCCTAGAAAATCCTATATTTTCCTAAGTGTAAGTTGTTGTCTTAACTGTTCCAAAACTGAAAAGTACAAGTATGCTCCATACTTATGTTGTTAAAGTATTGTTCTGAATGAAAACCCTGGCTACCACCAGTAAAGTATAGTAGTTTTATTACATAAAATAAAACTAGTCGAAAACGTGTTGTTCTATATATTGTAAGTGTTGTTAAAACCCTCCTGTGATCACTTAGTACATATGAGTTATAGAAATCTAGATCGAACAGACAGTCGATTGGGTGATTCTGCCCTAAGCCCACAACCAAACAAGGAACAGGAAATGAGGCGGAAGTCACCCATCCCACTGCATGTCAGATGTTAATTTCATATCACCCTGATGTATATACTAAGTAATCCCCTGGTTATTAACCCGGATGACTATTTGTTAAGTATATTATTACGTGAACGAGTCGTTGTTTCCCGTGTGAGTTCTTATAACCATGCTGATGGACGATAAACACTACGACGTACTTCGGACGTCGTAAATTGAAATGACGTTTGTCACCCCAGGATGACTGTAGCTAGTAGTCAGGGTGCGGGATTACCAGTCCCGTATAGATCTATACACAAACTCATGCTCTCCCTCCAGGAGACTCTGGTTCCTAAGGAGTTGACTTCCCAGAAGTCGTGTCTCACAATGTAGTTCTCTCAACGAATTCACGAATAATACTATGAAAACCCCTTTTTGTTATTAACATGTATCCTTATGAAAATAATACCTTTGTTCCTAGTTCATGAATTTGTTTTCCTTGTTAGAAATCTGTGTTGTGCTTGTAAATTTGTATCTTACTTGTTTGTAAAATTGTTCGTGAGTCTAGTAGTAACAATGTTTGTCATGTTTAATAAATTCTACGTTCAAATGTGTGTTAACGATAAGGAATATAATAAACCAAATTATATTTTTAAACACAAGCTTTCTTGTGTTTTACTTGCATCGCCCCCCCCCCCCCTGAAACATTAAAAAGCTTGGAAAAACATGGGGGGTATGAACTCACAGTTGTTTATGTGCATGTGCTGGACAGCGAGACTGGAAGGATGACCCACGAGTTGTTGTACGCGGCAAATAACGGAATCCTAATAATAATTAAACACATATTTGCATTTAAATTAGCGAGACCATTAAATAAAGTGTTAGAAAACACTTGCTTTTGGTTTAGGAATGTTACCGAGACTCGATCGAGGTGGAACAAGTGGGTTTTCAGCCAAGATTCCGATTGAGGCTGATTGCGGTCGTGAAAGGATTACGGTCGTGAACTGTTCTCGGTCGTGAACTGAATTCGGCCCTTGAATGGTTTGTGGCCTTTGTAGGGTTTACGGTCTGTTCTTGGTGTTCTTGGTGAAATATGAAGATTTGAAGGGTTTACGGCTGTGAACTCAAGAATGAAGGATGTTTGATTTGCTGAAATGGTGAATGTTTGATGCTCCAAAACTAGTTCCAAGGTGGATTTGGGTGATTTTCGGAGGATAGATTGAGTTTTTGGGTGATGGTTTTAGAGAGAAAAAGTGGTGTTTTCGGCCAGAAAAGTAAAAATGAGGGTGAATACATGTATATATAGGTTGGGTTCATGGTCGGTGGTGGGGTCCACCCAGCCGTGAACGGTTTACGGCTGTGAACATGATTGCGGTCGTAAACACTAGGACGACGAGACTCGGCTGATTTTCGATGAAAAACTTGATTTTTCGCACTATTTAGTCCCGACACTTATATAAATTTAATTTATATAATCTAAGTTGTTTTCAACCCTTACAAGTTTTGACAAAATTAATAAAATTCGAAATTTTATTTAACGGGATTTGACTTTCGTTGACTGAAAAAGGTTCGGGTTGTTACATTTCGGCCATAACTCCTTCGTTCTAAGTCCGGTTCCGACGAACTTTATATCCACGGAAAGGTGACGAGAAGCCCTACACTTCTAACAACTCACCCTTGCCTTAAAACATCCCAAACAAGAACCCAAAATTCATAAAGGCCCGAACTAACAAATTACGATTATACCCTTGGGCTCCGAAAACACCATTGAACACTTGGATCACTAAAACCATAACACCCACATTCGAAAAGGGCCAAATCCTTTCTTCCCCAAGGTCCTAAGCCTCACGACAACTGAAGATTGGTTTGCAGCCCCGAAGAATGAAACAATCTGAAACCGAGTGTTACAAATGATTTTGTAAACATTCTATGATTTGGGGTTATTTTCAAAAGCTTAAATTTCTTGTGAATTTTATGGATGTTACAAAAATGGCCAAATATACCCGACAAAATGGACTTTAATCCCTTGAAAAGCAAAAAATTAAGTTAAGGGAGTGAATCGACTAAAACCCAAAACATTGTAGCGCTACAATGTCATTTTCCCATTTAACTTTTATATATTTCTAACTTTTATCCTCGTATTTTTCTTTCTACCAATTTGAAATGATGATAATTGTATTTAAATATAATTAATATTATCCAAATATAACACTTGTCACAATTTCATATAGGTAGGAATATAAGTACGAAGAAAAGATAGGAGGACTTCGTATCCATCTTATCTCGTATACTCCTAGGTTATCTCAACAATATTAGTTGATCCTTTTAACTTCAAAAATTGATTCTAACTCCTTGTCAGATTCCTTTTTTTTCTTTCTATCTGATCATTACCTAAATATTATACCAAAAAAACCAAACTTGCAAATTGTGCCACAAAATTTGATTTCTTTTATGCCCTCTTTTAGTTGTCGGCGTTTCTATGAAGCTTTTAATTGTCAAGTCATCGAATCTCTGCATTCGTTATATCCACCAATTTATTTTAAGTGATTAGAGGAGTTGGTTGTTCTTTATAAGTTTTGAAAAATCGAGGTTAATAGATTTTATGGGTGTGGTTACTAAGTTTTTGGTGCATTGGTTTTTCAGAGTTTTGTCATCACTTGGTCTATTGCAGAAGGAGGTTAATATCTTGTTTCTAAGGCTCGAAATTGTCGGCAAAACCTCTTTGCTTCAAATGTTGAAGAACAAGCAGGTTGGTTACTTTAATTATTATGTTCTTATAAATTTTCGAGATACCATTGATATTGTGCATGTGATAGTTTTTGGCTTGCCAATGTATGAAAATAATTCTCTAGTAAATTTCTTGAAGGTAGCATTTAAAAAATTGTTTGTGTTGGGTTAAGTCTTTTCAGGGTCTCGTTTCCCATGTCATGCATCGTATTGGAAAGTTCAAGTTTAGAGCTTTTGATTTGGGAGGTCATAAGATCGCAAATGGAGTTTGGAGGATGAGAAGGTATGATTAATTTGATTGAAAGTGTTATCAGATTGGATCTATGTTTGATACTAATGTTATAGTTAAAAGTATGACATGTGATTCTTTTTGAAGGTCGATGCAGTTGTTTACTTGGTGGATGCTAGCGACAGAGATCGATTTCCAGAGTCAAGAAGAGAATTAGAGGCGCTCCTATCATATGAATCATTGGCTAATGTACCTTTCTTGATTTTGGGCGACAAGACTGACATTCCAAATGTTGCATTAGAGTATGAGTTGCATTACTACATTCATGTGCAATGGCTTATTACTGGAAACGTAAGATGAATAGAAACTTGGGACAGAGGACATTGGAGGTGTTTATGTGTAGCGTTGTGATGCAAACGGGGTTTATTGATGCGTTTGAATGGGTGCTTCATTATTCAAAGTAGGAAAAGTTTTAAAAATTTTGGTTTGAAAATTGTCTTGTGTGTTATTAGACGTGAGAGTTGGAGTTTTTTCTGTTTGAAAATAGTCTATATTCTTCTATTTTTGTCTAGTTTCATTGGTCAGGACTAGCAAACTTTCTAGAGTTATTTTTAATAACACATATGAGAAAGGTATTTATTGTTATTTTGTAAATACAAAAATCGAGTACGACTCACAATATCATTTTCTTTTGTTCCATCTTTCTGTGTGGGATAAGAAAATTATCTCCAATTGATATCAGTTCTAGTAATGCATACCAAACATAGTACCATGTCGTATTTTGTATTTTAGAAAATCATTTGTGAGTCAATTCAATTGAGCACAAATGTAAGCTTCACCGGTTAGAGCTAGAGCATCCACAATGGTTAACATTTTCTAAAGCTTATTTGTTTTATCAAACTAACAAAAAAACTCTCTTTAAAATTCTTCTCCAATACAAAAGTCGTGTTCGGCACAGAGCTTTTAACATTTCTAAAAAATCAAAAAAAAAATTTATTCGACTGAAAAAAAAATTAGTTTTTATTTTAAACAAAAAACTCTTAATCCAAAAGGTGCTCCAAGTAGTTTTTGGGAGCTTTTGGCTTTTGGTTTTTTATAATTTACACATTTAAAAACGACAAAACTGCACAAATAGTCCATGTGGTTAGCTGAAAATTGTCACTTTGGTCCAAAAAAGTTTGGACTAGCACCAGAGGTCCAAACTTTTCATTTTGTTGCGAGTTTGGTCCGATTTGCTTTGAACTTTTTTATATAGACGATTTTGCCCTTGCTTTTTGCTTTTTTAGTTATTTATTTATTTAAATATTTTTCTAATTAAAAAAATTAAAAAAGCCAGATCTCTCTCTCTCTCTCTCTCTCTCTCTCACCTTTTATTCTTCTTCTTCACCTGATCTGTTTAGTTTATCCTCAAAAAAAAATCAAATTCTCATTGACCGATTTATGTTGAGCTTCTGGTTTAAATCATAAATTGCACAACGAAATGAAATCATGTTTCAAACTGTTAGGAACCAATCAAATGATCAAGACACCCATATGATTTCCCTTTTCTAGTTTGAAGATCTGGGTATGCAACTTCAAGATCACTTTTAATCATCTCATCTAGGGAGTTGTGAAGACCGAGGAAGCTCGAGAAGTTTTAACAACCACTCCATGAAGACGATCTCTAGCTCAGTTGCTGCAGAAGAAGATTCCAAATTGAATCCTTCAGGAGACGAAGAACACCCCCCACTAACCCTTCATTCATCTACATCTCTCTTCTTCTCTTCCTGACGCCCTTCTCGTTTCCTGAAACCCTAACACCGCCTCCTTCTCGTTTCAAGATCTGTAAGAACGAGTCTAGATTAGGGTTTCGTTTTGGTTTCAAGATCTGAAACCCTATCATCGCCGTTATCCTAGTGTAGGTTTATGAAACCCTAACAATGGCGTCGGAGGTGAAGAAGGTGTAGACGATTACGTATTTGTTCAAATGGCGGACCTTCGATCTTCTTATTTGTCATCGATCTTTTCATTCGTCTGACCACATCCCTGTTATCGGATCTGTAAGAGAGATGTTGATAGAGGTGGTGTCCCACCTCAAATATGTCTACGAGCAAGCCTTCACAAAGAAGCGGTCAGTACCTCCCCCATCTCTGAAATCGTCTCTAGATCAAAATCGATTTCCAGATGAAGATGAGGGATGAACACCCAAGAATCAATTTCCAGAAATTTAGGACACGCACACACACTCTTAAATTGATTTCCAGAAACACAAACACACACGATTTTAGTTTTTGATTCGAATTTAAGAATCTGATTCTTAAGTTACCCTAAAAAAACTCACAAATGATTTCCATTGAGTTATGATTTAGAAAAACCCCAAATGAAAACGAGATTGGAAAGATAACCAGATGGGATATTTTCTTCAAAAGGAGAGGGAAAGAGAGAGAGAGGGGGGGGGGAGAGAGAGAGAGAGAGATTTGGCTTTTTTAATTTTTTTAATTTATCTTTTAACCATAAATATATTTAAATAAATAAATAACTAAAAAAAGCAAAAAGCAAGGGCAAAATCGTCTTTATAAAAAAGTTCAAAACAAACCGGACCAAACTAGCAACAAAATGAAAAGTTTGGACCTCTTGTGCTAGTCCAAACTTTTTTGGACCAAAGTGGCAATTTTCAGCTAACCACGGGGACCATTTGTGCAGTTTTGTCTTTAAAAACTAACTACGTTTGTCAAACACTTGAACACAAATGAAAAGTTACAACTTTTAGCTTCCGGTTAGCTAGCGAGGACGAATGATAACTTCTGATATATTGGAGTTGTCTCTTTATAAATAGAAAATTGCTCGTATGAAACTTTTATATTTTGTAAGTCTACTCTCTTTAGCGATTGATTTTAAATAATTATTTATCGTTAATATTTAGTATACTACTAAAATTAATATTTAACATGACTGAAAGGGGAAACGAAGTTAAACATTGTCAATAAGCTTTGATATGTCTTACAAAGCATCAACTACGTTACTTTCATGATCAATTTTGTACAATGTCGGTTTTCTAAAACCCTAATCTTGACGGTTGACAATTATCAAGGATAAATGTAGAACCACATCATCAATAGATGGAGGTGAGGACGATGATAATAGGACGTTGACGTTGGACTTACACTGTTCATACATTTTGTTCTAACCCTGTAACCTCGGATGCATATGCTATCGTGACGACTTTCAGTGATTTAGATTTCATAAATATACATTTCGATGACTTTGATATTTTCTTCATGAAGTTGCAAATGCTAGGATTCATAGTGTTTATCGTTTTTTTCCAAACAAGCCATTATGTAATAGTCATTGTTATAGACTTATAGGGAATTCGTATTTTTGGGTATTCAAAATGGGGGTAGCTGGGTAGGATTCAGTCTTGTTATGGAGTAAGATGTAGAATTATGAGTAAAATCAGAAGGTGTGTTTGCCTTTCAATAATAATGATAATAATAATAATAATAATAATAATAATAATAATAATAAGGCCCGAACAAGATAATGATAAGGATGCACAAAAGATGGCACTCCATTTAATTATATTTTGGTTGATCATGAACATGAAGAAGTGATAATTAATGTTGAGCACTTAGGCCCTTTCTTGAATGAAATGGGTGTAGACATAGATTTTGATGAAAGAATTAGTAGGGAGGAAGTTTCTAAAACTTACTCTATTCACGATCCAACACAAAATTGGAAGGATATGAACCAAATAGTATGTTATTAGACTAGTTATAACCCGTGAGAACCACAACTATAAAATTAATTAAACTTTTATAGTAAAAACTCAAAATTATTAATTACTTATTTTAAATAAATTATTAATTAAAAGATTTTTTTTAGTTATATGAAATTATAATCATTGATTTAAATAAATATTTAAAATTATATTATTTTATAATTTGTATTAATTTTATTTTAATTTTTATTCTAATGTTATTAATTTAATGTAATTATAATGGAAAATTTAAAATTTGAAATTTGAAATGGAAAATCAATAGGTTGACAAGTGGCATGCATTAATTAGAATACATAATAGGGTGACACATGACAAAAAAAGAATAAAATATACATTAATTAGGAGGCCTAATATGGTGACACATGTCAAAAGAAGAATAAAACTATTATTTTATTAGAACATGGAGATTTAAGAGTAAATTACACGAATAGTCCTTATGGTTTAGAGTAATTTGTGCGTTTGGTACCTAACTTATTTTTTTAACTCGGAAGTTCCTACTGTTTGTTTTTATTACGTGGTTGGTCTTTGTCATACCTAAAAAAATATTTTGCCCTTGATTTTTTTAAATTTATTTAAATAAACACATCCCCAACCCTACCCCCTCACCTTACCTTACCTACCCCATCAGTTTTTCCTATTTAAATAATCGTCTTTTTAGGTAAGACAGAGACCAAACGTGTAACAAAAACAAACAGTAGGGACCAAACGTGTAACAAAAACAAACAGTAGGGACTTTCCTAGTTAAAAAATAAGTTAGGGACCAAGCGCGCAAATTACCCCAAACCATAGGGACCATTCGTGTAATTTACTCTAGATTTGAGAATCAAAAGCCACTAAACATATACTTACTATACTAAGTTACTAATGATTCAGTTGCATAAAGCTATGATTTGTTGTATGAAAAAAAAAAAAAAGGAATATAGAAAGCTTGTTAGATGTGGAAGGCCAATGCAACTCAAAATAGCATGAACCTATTTTTCCTTTTAGACATTGTGCTTTTTGACACTTTTTGACACTTTTTGGATGAGCAATAAGAGAATATTCGAGATAAGTACCATAAACTGATAAACGAGAACCAAAGTCGTGCCTAAAGCTTCACTTATAAATCAATGGTTACTTGTGTAACAATTATGTAATACGTTTTGGTTCAATGAAAAAAAATATCAAACAAAAACAAAACTGCATTACCGAATTACAAGAATATTAACATTAAAATAACAACTACTACAAGTATACGTTGTTTCATATGTTTCACCTTGTATAAATGCCACCTGTTGCTATAGGTGATCTTCAAAAGGTAGTTTGTCGATTATATATGTAAGATTTTGCAAAATACAAGTAGATTAAAAATGCCACACTACTGATACCCGCTAGAAGCCAGTAGAAGTAATCAAGGTGACCTCGATTCAAGTTATCGGAAATCCAACCGTCTCCACCATCTCCGCCGGTGGTTTTCTCAACAACCGAGATCAGAAAACTGCTTAAAAAGCTACCGACACCGAATATACTCAGGTAAAGCGCCAAACCGATGCTCCTCAACTCCGTCGGCACTTGATCGTAAAAGAACTCTTGTAGGCCCACCATCGTGAACACGTCAGCAGCTCCGGTCAACAAATATTGAGGTAACAACCACCAGATTTTCATCGGAACGGTGGCGCTAGGGTTATCTAATAATCCGTATTCCTCTGCGGTTTTCAATCGTTTGATCTCGACAACTGCTGAAACGATCATTGAAAGTATCGATATGAAGATTCCGGTTCCGATTCTTTGAAGCATTGTGATGCCGGAGGGTTTTCTGGTGATGGATCTGGCGAGAGGGACTAAGATGCGGTCGTAGATTGGGATAAGGATAACGACGGTGATGCTGATGAAACTTTGGAGTGTGGCGGCTGGAACTTCAAAGCTTGATCCGATTGATCTGTCCATGGTGAATCCTTGTTTGGTGAATAATGTGGAAAATTGGGCGAAAACAACTGCGAATGCTAACAAGCTGGACCATATCGGAATTAGTCTGAGAACTGCTTTCGCTTCGTTCACTTCATTCAGGCTACAGATCTTCCCTTCTTCCTTTGATCCATCGGGTGAAAGTAAGGCTTTGTTTAGAAAACTGAACTGCTGAGAACCTTGATGAGGCAAGGTTCCAGTTCCATAAGCTTCTTCTTCCATGGATATTGATGAAGATGGAGTTTTCCGATTCTGAAACGATCTAACAAACACTTGCCCGATTCTAACAAAAGCACTTTTTTCATCGACTTTCTCTTCAAACCGATATGTTGTGGTTCCAGACAAGAATATAAGCAGTGCAAGACCCATAACAATGCAAGGAATCCCAAATCCGAGACCCCAACTAAAGTTATCCTGAATGTAATTAAGAACACCTAGCGCCAAAAGTGGACCTCCACACAATCCAAGGTACCACCAGTTGAAGAAGGAGCTTTTGGATTTGAGTTCTTCTGGATTCTGGGAGTCAAACTGGTCAGCTCCGAAAGCTTGAACACATGGCTTGTGTCCTCCTTGAGCAAATGCGACAAGATACAGTGAAACGAAGAACAGAACGACTTGGAATTGAGGAGGAGAACATGTGGAAGTGGAACCGTTGGTGGTTTCACAGCCGGAAAAAGGAATCAAAGCTGAAACAGTGAGTAACCCAAGTGCCTGTAAATCATCCCAGAAATGATTCAAATTCATGGATTTCCTGCTATAATTTTACTGGATCTGAGCAAGTAAATCAACAATAACAGGAAATTCGTTCAATAAAAGATGATTAACCAGTGTATAGAGGAGAGAAGCAATGAAAATCGTCCGGTATCTACCCAAAAACGCATCAGCAACGAAAGCACCGAACAAAGGGAGGAGCGACGCCGTTCCAGACCAGGCATTCACATTTTCGGCAGCCGTCGCCGTCGATTGGCCCAACGGACCAGTCAAATATGTGATTAGGTTTGAACTAATTCCATAGTATGCAAATCTCTCCGCCACTTCAACACCTGTGTAGAACCACAAAAACTTCTAATCCTTGAATAAGATCCATAACGAATTTCGGTGATTGTATGAGAATTTAGGTTACCGATAATAAAATAGGCGGATCTCCAGCCACCGGATTTGGATCTGACGACGGGACGACCTTTGAAGTCAACGAATCCGTCAACGACGCCGTCCACCAATGGAGTTTCAACTTGAGAATAATTGGAGGCGGAGCCGGTGGCATCCATGTCGCCGTCGCACTGTTCAGCCTATGCTCCACCACACACGCCCAATGTTGGGAAGGGCGGGAGGATATAAAGTTCGGCTTGTTCGAGTAAAATTCTCATGTCATAAACAAACACATCTATACTGCCCATAAAGAGTTCATATCCACTTTGAACTCTATTATTATGTTGAGATGAAAAGTCTTGTTTTGTCTATGAATATTAACATAAAGAAATGGATGAATGTGTGAAAATAAATTAAGCTATTTTCATGTTTGATAGCAACGAAATAATGAAATTTGTCATTCAAATACTCAACGGAACCAAATTACTAACATATAAAAATCAACTTAAACTAAGAAATACTTTATAAAATATTATTTTGTAAGAATAAATTTATGAATTCATTAAATATTATTATATAATTGATATGGTAGGATTTTTACCTTACCATTTTTAATATCTTGAACTTACGTTTAATATCCGATAGCCCAAGATCTTGGAAATATCTTTGAGACTCCTATTATGTTTTTTGTAATTTCTTATGTAGGACTAATATCAATAAAGTCTTATGTTTTTGGTAGTAAATTGGGAAAAGCCCTGCATTTAATTTTTCATTTATTGTGACCACGATATTTTTATTGAAATATCGTTTGAGAGCTTATACCCGGTCACCAGCAGGTAACCTGTACCATCCGGTCACCACTAAGCTATTCCCTAGCCATCACCTTTCATGAACCATCACTGCTAAAGGGTTTCATGCATTCGAGAATGGTTTGATGCTGAGAAGGGTTTCACAGTCCCCAATTTCGCAATTTGAAGCTCCGAAATCGTTGGCTAAGTAAGGTGGAGTAGAAAGGTACGTGTATGGAAACAAGAAATTGATGATTCTGAGGGTGGTTATCTTTGTCAATAGAGTATGGAGTTCCAAGTTTGGACTAACAAGTTATTATTTTTTTTTTTTTATGAAACAGATGGCTTCTACTTCTGGAACTAAGAAGCATAAAGGGCCTAAGCTCCCTGAGAAGACATACCTTCCAGACTCCGACTCCGATGATGATGCATTTGACTTTAGATTCTTGGATTTTTCTGAAGAAACTTTCAAAGCCCCCTCAAAACTATGTGATGATCATTTTCTTAACTTATTGTGTGACGAAAACATATTAAGGAGGAGTGTTGATGGAATGGTAGATGATGGAGACATTTGTGGTGTCCAACAAAATGAGCATGCCCACTTAGATTAGGACGATGAAGATGTTGGTGTGGAGTATAGGGTGCATGGTCCCAATGTTGACTGGAAAGAGACGAGGCCCCGATTAGGAGACTGTTATGAATCCCCTGCTCAACTCAGGTTTGCTTTAACTAACTATGCAGTCCATGGAGGGTACCAGCTTTATTTTGAAAAAAGTGATAGAGTGAGGGTTATAGCTAAGTGTGGTAGTGGAAGCAGTGATAATAAAAAAAAAATGTAGTGTCCATTTAGGGTTGCAGCTGGATGGAAGTACAATGAAAGGACAATCCAGATTAAGTTTTGTAATGAAATTCATCTGTGTGCTAGGAATTATCATTTTGGTTCCCTAGTTACTAGCAATTGGTTAGCCAAACACTACCTGAAAGATGTAATCATGAAGCCCAAGATGACATTGCTAGAGATGCAAGCAGATGTGCTACAAAGGTTTTCAGTGAGTGTATTTGTTGGGCAATGCCAAAGAGCAAGGGTTACTGCAATGGGGATGATAGAAGGGAAGTTAGAAGACCACTATGCCAGGGTTTGGGACTATGCAGCTGCAATTAGGTTGAGTAATTCGGGTACAACTTGCTTGGTGGGGGTAGAAAGTAATCCGGGGTGTAACTATTTCAAAAGGTTTTATGTTGGCTTCAAGGCTTTCAGAGATGGATGGAACAGAGGATGTAGAAGGGTAATAGGACTAGATCGTAGTTTCTTGAAGGGGCAAGTTAAGGGGGAGATTTTAACTGCTATTGGGAGGGATGCAGACAACCATTTCTACCCAATAGCATGGGCAGTTGTGAATGTTGAGAATAAGGACAACTGGACCTGGTTCATTGAGAATTTGGTTGCTGATTTGGATCTTGGTGTTGGCAATGGACTGGTTGTTATCTCAGACCAACACAAGGTACCACAACATACACTAGTATACCATATATATTTCTATGTTACACTCACTAATATTTACATGTGTTGTGTTGTGTTTGTTTGTTAATTATAGGGACTTCTACAGGCTGTGGCAGACCTACTCCCCCATGTTGACCACAGACAATGTGATAGACACATCTTTGCAAACTTTAGGAAGAAATACACAGGATTAGAGCTAATGTGACATCCCCTAATTTCTCGGCCATAAAAGACCGATTTAATTTATGCTTTTTAAAATAAAATCAGAGAAATCTTTTCAAAAGATATTGCGGAATAGGTCTCCAATATAAAACATGATAATGTTTATCAAAACCTTTCTTTAAGAAATATATAATTTCCTTTTATATTAAAACTTCGGGATGTCATGTTCCGATACAGATCAAAAGCATAAACAAGACATTATAAGCCTTACAACAGTTATTTATAACTACTGGCCTATAATCCATAAATCACTCATCATCATCATCCGACTATGCTCGGGGTCCACTACCTGTAATCATAAAAAGCTGAGTGGGTCAGGCTTGGAAGCCTGGTGAGCATATAGGATTTTCAACCCACAATAAATAAATTTATTGTACTTAAACATCAATCAATCAACCAAATTACCCCAACCCCATTATCTTATTTATTTCTTAAGGGTTTACCCTAAGATTCAACTATCACTCCTTCCTAAGGATTCATCCTAAGGAATAAGCACAAGGTCACACCATCACTAGGGTTTATACAACAGGGGCTAAATTCATAGCTCTTATTTATTGACAGTATTATTGATAGTATTCACCTCTGTCATACATGTCAATGGGTTTTTAGAGTACTCCAAATGAACATATAGTTCATTACACCTGCAGGTTGCGGGCCTGCTAGTGTTCCACAGACCATCTAGAATAGTCCATGGTTGTCATCCCTACTCTGCTGAATGACGGGGGCCAACATTTTGCGTAAGTGATTCTCTCAAATTTCACCACTCACCCTCAACTCATGATCAATATTACTGATCATCTCCTTTATCCAACTCACCTATCATCACACACCCATTATTTCATCTACCCATGTTTTACCCAACATTTTTGTAGATAAAAATACATATACAGTTTAAATTATTTAAAAACATGTATAAATCACACCTTCAACATCCAACTCAAATAAACAAACAATAAATATTCACACAGCACGTATTTTATGTAAAATACTTCATATCTATGTGTAAGGTGAAAGTAACTACACACTCACCTGATTTAATGAAAATCGGGCAGCAATTCGTTTCCTAAAACGATCGTTTCTAATAAAACTGGTAGTTTTATTGAGAAACCGGGCTCTGCGAAGGGTCGGGCTTCGAAACCGAAAAGATAAATTTTTCGGGCTTCACGGGCACTTCGTGGCGTATTCCGGGGATTATAATCGATACCGGGGCTTCGGGGAATGTTAAGATGAAGAAAATATGAAGAAAGGTGTGAAAGATGGTGAAATCCCAAAAGTACCCGAGAAGGCTCGCATGACCCTTCTATTTATAGGGGTCCGAAGTCGGTTCTGGTGGTGGGGTCCGCAGGCGAGGGTGCGCAGGTGGCTGCACGTGCGAAGGCCTCGCTGTCCTCTCCTGATTGGACCGAGGTCTAGTCCGAAGTAGGGGGGAATCTGTGGCATGCTGCGAGGGTTCGGTCTCGTGCAAGAGAGTATGTGTCGCACCGCTATTGGACCACTTCGGATCAGATCAGGTGCTCGGATGACTCAGCAGCTCGGACACGTGGCTTGCCTGACTCACCCATTTCGGACACGTGGCACGTTCTAAGCGAGGGTGACGTGGCAAATCGTGACTATGCGAATTTTCTCGGTTTTTGTGCAAAAACTTCTAAAATCCATAACTTTCGCATACGAGCTCCGTTTTTGACGTTCTTTATATGCACGGGTAGGTAAAATTACGCTCTACAACTTTGTTTAGACTTCGTCGGCTAATTTTGACTTTAATTTTTATATTATTATTTTTAACAGACCGGGACAGGAAATCCGTTAAAAATTCATAACTTCTTCATCTGACGTCCGTTTTCGTCAGACTTTTTACCGTTGTGCTACTATTTACGAGACCTTCGATTCTCGTTTAGGTCGTGTCGGCTAAAAATCACTCAATCTAAAATTCGAGTTTTTAGCTGTCTACTGCTAAGCTGAAACTTCGAAAAATCGTAACTTCCTCATACGAAGTCAGATTTGGGCGTTCTTGTTATACCTACTCTCGGTTTAATGAACACTACAAGTTTCGTTTAGATTACTAAGGCTAAAAAGTAGTTTATCAAAAACTCACTTTTTACGACATTCGGCACCGTGCCGGTTTGTTGCGAAACTTCGACAGGTCATAACTTCTTCGTTATAACTCGGATTTCGGCATTCTTTATATATCCGTAATCCTTGTCATGCCCACCACAAGTTTCTTAATAGATATCGGCTTTATCTAAAATTTAATTTTTGACGCTAATTTTTATTCTTAATTATTTAAACCCTAATAATTAAGCATAAAACACATAAAACTAATAATATTCACATAATTCATTTTCATTTCTCCAAAATGAGTCACAAATGTTAACCTAGACCATTATGTCAATATTAATGCCTAGCCTAGAAACACGGGCGTTACAGCTAAAGAATTTGTTCTGGGAAGCTGCTATGAGTACAGTGGAAGGGGACTTTCTTGCTACAATGGAGAAGATAAAGAAGATAACAGAAACATGATACACCTATCTTATGGCAAGGAAACCTGAAACTTGGTGCAGAGCATTCTTTTCTCATGGGTATGCTTGTGAAGCAGTAGAAAATGGGGTGGCAGAATGCTTCAATGACATGATCAAAGAAATAAGGAAGAAGCCTCTACTCACAATGCTTGAGGAAATAAGGATTCTCCTTATGAAAAGGTTTTTTCATGAAGGTCAAGAGGTAGCAAAATGGAGGGGTAATTGTGGGCCTAACATACAACTGAAGCTTGATGAATTTGGGAAAGATATTAGGTAATATAAGTTTTTATGGGCATGTATCCAAAAATATTAAGTATTTATATGTGTACTTTGT